ATTAAAAAAAAAAAAAAAACATTAAAAAAAAAAAACCAACAACCCCACACACAAAAAAAAACCCAACGACGAAAAGAAAACCACAAAACAAAACGGTGCTGATTCTGGTGTGATTTTTTGCTCACCACGTGAATATAAACTATCAATTGTATAAAAAGAACAAAGTGATTTTAGTATAAAATGCAGGAAAAAAAAAACACAAAACCTTTTTTAAATTGTTAGTATTGTAGTGTGAATAAATTTGCCATCACCTTTTGTGTGGTGGCTGGGCAGGTCATTATCTTAATTTTTTTTTTTTTTTTTTTTTTGCATATATCTTAAATACTGTAATTAGTGCAGTTACAGGTTGTTTTTTTTGTTTTTTTTTTTTGTTTTTTTGTTCATCTCTTCTAGAACATTCATAATGCCGTCATGTTTATTATTATTATATTTTTTTTTCTGTTCATGTTTTTTGACAGTTTTAAAGATGCAGCCTTTTGGCTCTGATCATTTTCTTGTTCTGTTTTCAATGAAATCAATAAAAAAAAGAAAAAAAAAAAGAAAAAAAAAAGTGCTTTAAAATGAGTTTGGTCTCTGCTTGCCCTCCGCGCCGCCTTCCTCGTCCTCATCATTGAGAGGAAAATGAGAACAGTGAGCAATAAGACCTGGGGTGTCTTCAAGCCAATGCAAAGATGCCCAACCATCTGGTTTGGGGTTTTCTGTCCCATGTCCTGAATGGAGGTGATGTCCCATCCCAAAAGTAACAGGGCTGCAAATGGGGCTGAATGCTTCCTGCCTCAGCCATGGCACTGCTGGGCTGCGCTGTGTGCTTCCCTCTGCTTCTGAATCATAGAGTCATGGAGCCCTTGGATTTGGAAGGGAGCTTTGAGGCCATCCAGTCCAACTCTCCTGCAGTGCACAGGGACACCACAGCTCCATCAGGTTGCCCAGGGCCTGATCCAGCCTCACCTTGAAAGTCTCCAGGGATGGGGCATCAACTTCTGGAGTGTTTGGGGGCCTTGGATGTGTTGGTGTCCAGTTTGGTCACTGCCAGTCGCAGGGAGAAATCGCCTGGCTCTGTGCTGGCTCTCAGAGCTGGGTTTGCCCCCAGCACGTGGCTTTGCCAAGTGTGTTGGGGCAGTGATGTCCAAGCACTGAGCAGCAGCGTTTGGAGCTGTCATGGGATTCATGGGATTCAGGTGTGCCCTGAGGGTTTCTCATAGATGTCCCTTGCACCCTTGTCCCATCAACAGCCCTTCATGCAGTGTGCACCAGGAGAGGGAGCTCCCACTGCTCTTTTCCCAGTTCTGCATTAAAGTTTCGGGAATGTCTTCAGTAGCTCCACCCCACCTCATTCCACCTCAGCCCATCCCATCCCTCATTGCATTTCCATTCTCCTTGTTTCTCTGTGTGCTCTGCTGGGGGACAGTTGGTCACTAATCCTCATCAGCTGCAAGATTTGCTTGCCAAGAAATCCCACTTTTGCTGTTGGGATTGCAAGGGCTGCAGTGAGAGCGCTGGGTGGAACCCTGAGACCCCAGTGTGCTGTGGCATGGAAGGCCATTTAACTACAGCCCAGTGTTGTACAATTAAACATCATAATGAAAATAATACACTTCAATTGAAGGTGAGAAGTGGAAAAACATTGGGAAATGCCATTTCTGAATGGAACTACCCAGAGCATTATCTCCCTGGGGAAGGTTCTCTTTGGTGTTAGGGACCAAAGAACACTCCAGTTGTGTTCACTGTGTTGAACTGTCGCAGTTCTGGATGTGTGTGGATGCCATGCACCTTCAGTCCAGTGGTGTTCAATGAACTCCCACAGCCACACGTGAGGATTCTGGTTGTGTTCAGTGAGATCTCACAGCCAGGTTAACAAATAGTGTGGTTTATTGAAGCACCAGATGCATGGATTCTTTGGGTTGCCAATGATACATTTCCCATCTGCAAAGCAGGTGCACACACCAAGAATGAGAATAATACAGCCTGGCCACAAGAGGTTACAGAACAACTCTACAGAGATCTCCAAGCTCCCTGGGGAAATGCTCCTACAACTGAGTGTTGGAATCTCACCCAACAGCATCTGTCCGTGTGGGGTTGGGAAGAGGGACTCAGCCCATCAATGAATCCCAGGAATCAAAGGTGATCCGTATCTGAAATCTGATGGCAGCTTCCCCAACATCCCCCTCTCTTAAGCTGTTTTTATCTCATTTCTCATTTTTTAGGTCACACACACCTTTGCTATGAGGGTTGTGAAGTTCTGTCCCTCTGCTGCTGGAGGTCCAGCCCTGAAGAAGGCAGGGCGCTGGCTCAGCCGCACCTTGGCTACAGGCATCTTTCAGGATGGAGGTGTGTGCTGCTATTCTAATGAGATTATAATGAGCAAAGTTCACCCAAAGGATGGCGTTTTGACAAAAGATGACAGTCTGTTGGCTCAGGTAGAAAATACATTCATCAGCCCCATAATCCCATGTTCCCATGGTGGTGGTGATGTCTTCACTCCATTCCACTCCTGGTGCCATTTTCCTTCCATCCATCACACCGAGCTGCCCTGCTGTTGCCCACACCTCATCTTGCCTGGGGAACTCCTGCACAACAGACTCCTTGCACGCTGCCTCCACTCTGCTTTTGCCTCTTTCCTTAACACGTGAACAATGCTTATATTAAATTTAATTCCAAGTCACCCCTAGCAATTATCCCACAGGGGCTGATCCCGTTGTGGGAATGCTTTATCCAAAGGGATGCAACTGTTGTCATGTTACTATCTTGCTTGCAGACCGAAGCTTTGGAGTGAATCAATTATGTTCTCTGGGTATGAAGCCTTTGCTGCACACGCCCTGGTCTGCCCGAGGATGTGTTTGCAGCTCTGATTTGATTCTGTTTGAGAGTAGGATTTCTTTTCTTTTAATGTGGTGAGAGCATCTGATCCAGGCTTCGCTCCCAGGCTGCTGCGTGTAGCTTTGCTCGTGGCAGCTGCTGGCACAGGAGGATTGCTTTTCCTATTCACCCTCTGCTGATACTCCTCTCGGCTCCACTTACAACACAAAGAAATCTCCAATAATTCATTTGCCTTGATTTTGGCACCTGGCATGCAGAGCTTCAGGGCATCCCCAGGGCCTCGCAGCTGCCCCAGCACTGGACGATGAATTTTTGTACTGAGCTCAGGTGGGAAGGGGGACACAAATCCACTGATGGGGAGGTACATGGAGGGGTTGTGCAACCCAAAGCATTGCACGGCATCCCATGGCATCCTGATGCCCCTGAAATCTGTAGGATCGCCCCAAAAACCCAGGGCTGCAGCAGGTAGGAGCTATCAATACAGCTGTGTGATTTCACCCCACCCCTCATTCCTGAGCCTGTGCCAGAGCTGGAAGCAATATCCCTTTATTTCACAGATAGCACAGAATATTCCCTCAGCTGCCAAAAGTCTTCTGTTATCGCTCTGCTCATTTCCTCCCCAGCATGCAGGCAGGGTGAGGGGCTGCTGCTGGTGGGGAAGGGCTCAGCCACCCAGAGGCTGAAGGCAGTGGACACAGGGGCTGCAGGCCCTGCCCTCCCTGCCCCAGGCACAGCACTGTTGCGCTCAGCACCCAAAGACAGCAAATATTGCTCAATGCCATGTGGTCATGCCATGTCTGCTCTTACAGCAGGGACGTGGAAGGGATCCCCCTGGAAAGGATCCCATTGGAAGGGGTTTCCAATGGGAGGGATTTCCGATGCCTATGGAAAGGGGTTCCCAGTGCAAGGGATCCCAATGGCCCCCAGCAGTGAGGAAATGCTCCTGTACCCAGAACATTTGTATTTATAATGAATAAATACCCCCCAGCTCATCCGGAATGAATGGGGAAGTGGAAGGAAGGGACTGTTGGCAACAAGTGGCCCAACCACATTTACACCTCCATCACTATCATCTCAGTGCCAGCAGAGCTGCCAGAACATTTGGGGCTTTTTAGGTCACAGTTCACCACCCTGGAGGTCTTTAAGCTTCTATTGTCCCTAGGAGGAAGGTGCTGGCTTTGATACTTCCCCCTTCTCAGGAATGCAGGGATCAGGGTGTTTATGCTCTAGAGCAGACAAATGCCATCACTGAACCTTTGCAGCCTGGTGTTGGGCTGGGATTCAACTCATCCTTACAGCTGGGATTAAAGTCATCCTTACAGCAAACCTCCCCAGCTGACCAGCTAGGGGCAGGACATCAGCAAAGTAAGCCAAGAGTTTGTTTAAATACTTGGAGCTCTGCTATCTACCAGGAATGACAAGAGATTACATTATGCAAAGGGCTGGCTATTTTAAGAGGGAGCCACTTGCCAACTTTCCTGGTTGCAGAAGTCTTTAATGCTGCTGCTGGAATACAAAGAGTTGGACACGCATGGATCCCATCACCCAGTGATCACCAAGTGCACAAGAAATGAAATGCCTGCAAGCCCAGGTGGTGCAGGGGGTGCTTGGGGCTGATTTTAGGGAAGTGGCTCCTTCAGTGTCTGGGGTAGGGACATGGAGATGTGGGAGCACCAGGATGGTTACATCCCAGCAGGAATGCAGTAGTGATGGTGGGTAAATGCTAAAACATTTCTGTGCAGCTCACTTGTAGATAAGTATTACATTGGGGGCTTTGTATTACAGGGCGGGCAGAAGATGCTCCTCTTGAGCAGCAGCAATTAGTGTGTTTTTCTTTGTGCTTTGTAAATGTAATTCTGAACAGCACCTGAGCAGATAAGATTTCCCCAGCCAAAAGGTGAGGATCCTGCTCTCCTATGTCTGCTGGGTGGAGTATTCCTTTCTGGTTGTGCAGCTGCTGGAGGAAAATAGCTGGAATAAATTGCTGAGAAGTTTGTGAGCAGCAAACGCAGCCTGCAACATTAGCAAAACTGCTGTGTAAATGAGTTTTTTTTCTGTTTAGAAAGAAGGTGATTTGGGATGATGCTCTCATTTATACCTTGAGAATCCCTGTGAGACAGACTCACGTTGGAAGAAATTGGGAACTCATGCAGC